GAGGGGTGATAGCACGATCATGTTACCTCCCCTTGAGCGTAAAAAACAACTATGCCTCGAATATTAAAGCAGTCATTATAACTTTTATATACTGAAAAGGGTCATAGAATACATGTGCAACTTACAAATCATGGTAATCAAGTTTGTTTACGCTATCGAGACCTAGTCTTAATAGGGTGTCTGATCGCGCACCACTCTAGTTGTGTGCTAAAATCCTTCCCATTCAGATTGCACGCATATACGTCAAATGCCAAAACCGGTCAATAGTCTTTTTTAAAAATGCCCTAGGGCTTTTTTCAAAAGACTATTGACCCGTTTTTGTATTTTACGGGAATGGCTAAAATTACGACTCCAATTTCGACCAATCAGATGGCTGGATTTCTGAAGTGAGGTGTATAAATAGTAGTATGTATTGGATGAAGAGATAAATAGTGATTTGTTATTTCTCATTCATTCAGGCCTTGCCCCAGTCCACCTGGCTGTGATCGCTAAGAACTTGGATATCCTTAAGGCACTTGTGTCATCAGGAGCGGATGTCAACGTAGCTGTAAGTACTATCATGTCTTTATTTCTACGTTTCTTCTGTGTGTTGTTAACTCATTTTGGGAGTTGAATTATCATCTATTTTAAATATTCATGTGTTTATTCCTTTTTTGACTCATATTTTGTAATTCTTCTGATTTTTCAGGTGAATTGAATAGAATTACTTGGTACCTTGTCTCCTGAGAAAAGATGCTGTATAAATGCAAACGTTAGTCAAACCTGCTTTAGTGACCACCTGTGTAGATAGAGTATATGTCTGTGAAGACAATGTCTGTGAAGACAATGTTTGTTTTTCACCTGTTCTTCACATGAAGACCACACTTTTTGCTTCACTTGAGAAGTGATCTCTTTAAAATGAGTTTCTCACCTGTACTTCAGTAACCTGTACATAAAGACCACCTGCTTATAAAAACCACACTTTCCATCTCCCTTGAGTAGTCTTTATTTAAAGGGACTCGGTAACATTGCCTCAGATTCTGAAACAAAATCCTGGATTTAGCTCATGCTGCAATCATAGTTATAAACATTTAGGACAGTCAGGTATCCCATGACTTTACAAGCCGATCGCCTGTCTGATTATCAAGATATTTATGATTGGAAATCAAGACTCCATTTTTCGTTTTCCTAACAGGTTTTATAACGCTACAGTCTATTGGGGAAAATGAGTATGGTAAAACCGGTCACTCAAAGATTTTTACTTTTTTGAGGCACTTCATGATAATTTAAAAACATTTTTTTTTAGGGCTTCAATATTACACCATATCACAGACACTGATAACACGTAGGGCCATGCATCTCAGATTTAACATTGTTAAATGATGCCTTTAACATTTCACTTTATCATGTTCCAGGATGGGAAGACCGGCCGAACCGCCCTCCACTATGCCGTGGAAGTCGAGAGCTTCCCAATTCTGGGCTACCTCCTGATCGAAGCCAAGGTCGACATCAATGCCGTGACCTTCTGTGGGGACTCGGCCCTTCACCTGGCCAGTAGCCTGGATCTGAGGGCGGTGGCCACGCTCCTCATCGCAGCAGGAGCTGACCCTAAGCTGGAGAACGCCGACCTGGGGGACGACAGTGACAGCGATGTCGACGGGGAGGATGACGATGGTGAGAAGGATGAGGAGAAGAAGGAGGAGGGAGTGGAAGAGGAGGAGAAGGAGAAGCATGGGAAGACACCCTATCAGCTGGCCACAAGTGCTAAGGTAACCCAACTTACAAGTTGAATACACTGTAGCTGTCAAGTATTTATATTTGATTTGATTTTATTTGATTTGATTTGATTTGATTTGATTTATTGGTTTCTGCTTTTTTTTTCTTTTTTTCATCATACATTTTCATGAACATACATATGGTTTGAAACAATATTTTAAGTGTATATAGTTTTATACAGATAATATCCAAAATAAACAAATATATTGAATGCATAATTAACATACTGTACATTAGATGCAGGAGGGCTACAGAAAGAAGCAAAGTATGCTCTATCTTCTCAATTTAACCCAGTCCCAGAAATCTCTTCCATTTTCATTCAGGCTGCATCAGAATTCTAAGGAAAAGTATTTTGCAGAAATTATTGATAGGAATAGAAGAATTTGTAGTCAACTATAGATTCACAAGTTGTTTGCTAACAATATGCAGTTTAGTTTTTTGTCATGATCCTCACCATGTCTAAATGATTCATAAGTAACCTAATGGATGTAGAAAGAATTAATTAAGGTTTTGTACAGATACCATTTCAATTTATTACAACAAATTTTATCAAGAGTTTTTAGTAGTATGTTCCCATTTGTCTGAATTTTTCTTGCGGCAGGTTTTTATTGAGTAAATATGAAGCTGTAAAAGTACTATCTTTGTAGCAATTCTTTTATGTGATAGTGTCACAGGGCTACAGGGCCCTTGTGGAAAACAGTTTTGTAACCGACAAAGCTACCCTGTATAAATACAACTACAAATTAATATTGTTCCTGGGAACCTGATTTTCTATTTAACCGGATAGATAAAGACTTAATTTCAAAACTTAATTTCAAGACTTAATTTCAAGACTTAATTTCAAAACTTAATTTCAAGACTTAATTTCAAAACTTAATTTCAAAACTTAATTTCAAAACTTAATTTCAAAACTTAATTTCAAAACTTAATTTCAAAACTTAATTTCAAGACTTTATTTCAAGACTTAATTTCAAAACTTAATTTCAAAACTTAATTTCAAGACTTAATTTCAAAACTTAATTTCAACGCAGATGAAAGAAGTCTTGTCTGGACATTCCACCAGGAGAGTAGAGGAGGAGGATTTTGACTACATCGAGACAGGAAGTGCCATCAGTTCCGTTGGGTCAATCCAATCAGAGGACCACATGAAAGTCAATAGCTGGGACCAGGGCTACTTCTCAGGGAAGTCCAGCTCCTCTGTCTCTAACCTGGAACTAAAGCGAACCTGGCCCAGAGTTAAAAGCAGAATGCTAGGGAGCTCCCTCATCACATCTAAAGGTATACCAAGCTAACATCAGAATATTAAGCTAACCTTGCTTTTAATTCCCTTCAACACTTCATACATACAACTTTTATTGCCTTTAGTTTTGGGTTTTGTTTTCATTCTATTTTTACTTTTAGTACCTCCTTTTGATTACATACTGCAACTTGAAATAAGATTAATTTCATAAAATTCCACGTTGATGATAAATGCAACCATGGTCTGACTTTAAGTTTCACATGCCCGGTTCTAGTCCAATAAACAAACCTGGTGTAAATATTCACTACTTTTACTGAATGATATACACAGTTAAAACTAAAATAACAAAAAAAATAAAAAATAAAATAAAAATTCTTTACAATTATTGAAACTTCTTCCTGAAAGCCTAACATTTAAAGGTACCGGTATTGTCCTAATGGCAAACTCATGCATAGTAATAAGTGAGAATGAGTCAGGAGAGCTGAGGTATTTGTTTCCAATTCATCATGACTGTGCCATGGACCAGTGATGGCCTGGTGGTAGAGTCGCTGTCCTGCAAGCAGTAGATGGCAGGTTCAAATCCAGCTGGTGCCAAGATTTTTTCTGACTTGTTTTCAATTACAAGATCGAGGACGCCATCTTTATTTACTGGGGTGCAAGCCAATAAATATTGTTTACAACAAATACAATACAATACAATAAAGTCATTTCTATAGCACTCTTACAAACTAACTGTTGTTTTACAATGCTTTACATAAAAGTTATCAAAGAATCTATTGTTGATCATGGTCAAAGCTTGACTATATTCAAACTATTTAATTATTTTTGTTTCATTTGTAGGAGACATTGGCCTGTTGTCTGAAACCACCACCGAGAAGCTAGGCTCTATGTTGGATGATAATTACCCTACTACACAGAGCTGGTTTACCCTGGCCAATCGGCTCGGACTCTCCAACATGCTCAACTTTCTCAAGCTTGTCCCAAGCCCCACTGCAGTCATTCTCAAACAGTTTGAGGTAGGTGCAAGTTAACATCATACAGTGTATTTTCCTAATGTTCTAGTTATTCATTGTTGTCATATTTATAACATGTTTTGATTGTGCATGAATGTTTAGGGAATTTGTCAGAGAATATTCTTTTTGCTGAAAAGCTATCATGTTGCTCTTAAGAAATTTTTTTTTTTCATTCCATCATAATTTGGAATATGCTGTATTGTTATGTATTTTTCTTCATATGTAATTGTGGGACTGTTCAAAATGTTTGGTTGTCGTTAATGTTGTTTGTACCGTAAATGGAAATTGTTACTGTGAAACCTGTATATAAAGACAATTCAAGGGTGACAAGAAAAGGCGGTCTTTATAGGCAGGTGGTAGGTAGGTGTAGGTTCTTATATTACACATTTCAATGAAAAACACTATTCACAGGAATAGACAGGTAGGCATCGTTTCACAAAACCATTGTTAGTCCAAGTTCACTGATATCCTATTCAAACCATGTTAAATGTTGGCGAACTTGGACTTTGTGAAATGCTGCCCTGGTCTTTCTATATAGGTAATTGCTAAAGCAGGTTTGACTGTATTTGTTTAACAGGCTATGGATGGAACCATTAAGGAGCTCCGAGACGTCCTCTATTCAATGAATCACATAGAAGCTGTGGCCTTACTGGATCAGGCCGTCTCATGGAGGAAAGAGAAAGGTAGCTAGGCCAAGGCATTTACAGCCAGATTATCTTCATCATCATCATGCAATTCCAATGTGTTCTTTCCACAATTCTATACAAAATAACAAGAAGAACATAGAAAAACAACCTTTTCATTGTCATCATTGTCACTCTCATCATCATCATCATCATCATCATCCTCATCATGATCATCATCAGTACTACTACTATCATCATCATCATCATCACTATCATCATCCTCGTCATAATCATCATTGGTAGACCCATCACTGCATGAAATGTTCTCCCAGGATGCTTTGTTAAAAGAAAGATAAAACATGTATGGATACAAATGCAAAAGAAACAAAACTTATCGATATATCAAGTTGTCCGTGCCTAAAAATTGGGAACATGAAATTGTAGTTATCTAATAAGAAGAAAACACAGGATTAGACAGTAGTTATAAGTGTCTCAATCACCAACAAAATCATTTATGTAAGCTTTCATTATACAACAGCATATTCATGCAAAATTCTCACCTTTTTTTGTTCATCTCTCAGCTGATGAGGCTCATATGTACAGTTCGATGCACCAGTCTTTGGGTAAGATGAATTTGTCCGACGCTCACATGCATCAACATCAATTCGTTTACTAGATTTCTATCTTGCCCGTCACAAGTACATCACCCTCTTTTACTGGCGATTGTACGGCATGCTCCGATGTCAGTTGCTCAACAGTCTAATATTTAGACTTAAGTGAACAGGAGTGCTCTGAATGCACAGGTGTAATATCAAATGGTCTTACACATGTGGGTTTTTTATACAAGGAGAACAATGTGAGAAGTTATCACGTTCCATTCCAGTTTTCAAAAACTGTACTTGAGCTTTAAGACCAGCCATGGTTCAGACAAGCCCCCAAACTTGGAAGAAAAATCTTGAAATTCTCTTCCTGAAAGTGTACCAATTAGGTTTGCATTTTTGTGTACCAGTAATGCAAAGGACAATGATGTACTTTGAGAATGGAATACAGACAATCTTTACCTTACCAACAATGTACAGTCTATTTAGTGAGAATTGTTGTTATTGAATTGTTATGTAAATTTACTGGAGATGCTCTCACGTTATTGTTATCTTTTTTTACATGTTATAATGTTGTCTTCAGTGTAGTATAGGATTTCTTAGAAAAGAAATTTAACCAAAAAAAGTAAACAAAAGGAGAGTGGCATATGCAAGTATTATGTAATACAAATATGTCGAGGATTTTGAATTTTGAAGGTTACTGATTTTTGCATATTCACGGCATTTGGATGTGGGACAGAGCTATCGATAGCAAGGTATTCCATGGAGGAATTTCTTGGGAATTTTTTTTGAGCTGCAGATGAAACTTCCTGATGGAAATATGTAAATGTGTAAAAAAAAATAATGCCGATATTATTTCTTTAATAATTGCATACTTGTGATATCTGAATGTACATATATGTATTTTATGAAGGATAATAATGAGTTTATCTTGCTTACTGATTGAATTATTAGTTGGAATGAATAATAGAAATTCATGATTTATATTTCATTTTATGATAGAAGAGACACAGAAAAAAAGCTGATATATGATTACTTGCCAAAACAAACCGCTTCTTATGCCTGGAGATCGTTATGTGATGTTTGGAGAGGGAAACAAATCATTAAACAGTTACTTTAAAAACCCATCAGTTGATTGACAAAGATTTATGGTAGAGATTATTGGAAGTTTATAAGTATAATATGGCAAATGATTTTGTAAATAATGTACTGTTTGAAATTTTTGGATAGTGGGAACACTTCTATTAAGAGATGAATGGCTAAAAAGCAGTACTAACAAGATATAGGAAAGGACTCGTGTAAATTCCAATTTATTTTTCATGTGAATTGTATTGTCTTGTAATATTTTGTATCATTTTGACACTCGTTCTAATTGAAATACTGAGAATTATTGAATCAGATCTACGTTATGTATATAATCTTTTTTGTTGTTGAATTAAAGTGACAGATGACTGCTTTGACTAATATGTTGTCATGAGAGATGCTGTCATCATTTATTAAAGCCTCCATTTTTGAGGGGTGACTGACTAATAATTGTAATGATTAAATGCATTGGAAAATAGTCGGCAACAAATTTGATCTAAAGTTGATGATTGGAGTCGGTAGATAACTCTCCCTTTACATTGGTACAAATTTCTTGCACAAATATAATTTTGTAAGGGATTTTGAGTCGTAAGTAAAATGCACATACAAATATATACAGTTGAGATAATGTTTCTGTTTTTGTTTTTTATACATCTGAACATTCTATTTTTTCGTGTGTTTGAGGATCTTGTAAAAAATATCAGTTTGTCACATACAAATTTGAAAGTCAAAGGAATGCCATGTTTTATGTACATAGAGAAATTGTTTCTGTATAAAAACACCTTATGGTATATAAGCCTATACTGGAAATCTGATCATTTAATCTTCATTTGCACTACATTGTATAGTACATGTAAATGGTTATGTGCCGCGTTTTTAAATGTAGTAAAATCTAAGATTTTACGGCTTGTGTAAAGTTGTGGGAAAAGTTCATGCCGAGTAAATCATAAATCGGGACTGCACTCCTTGTAGCTACTTGTAGCGCCCTCGATATAGCCAACAATGCCTAAGCGGTACCCATTGATCCCCCATGGTCCCCCTTTTTCTTATGTTAATTGAGAGCCAATTTGATGAGATAACCACCTGCCAGTGACCATGCAGGGAGATGTAATCCCTCCTGGCCAAACTAGTGCAGATGGGCTTTAATCTGTTGTATACTGTCCCATATATTCACACACATGTTGGTTTAAAGATGAGTAAGTTGTTCGATTAGACATACTTTTAATAGACCCTTTACTTAATTTAAAGATATTAGGTAACCTTGCATTTTTAACCTTGAATAATATTAGATAAAATATTCATTTCAGAGTGGGGCATTAGACAGGAGTTCACTTTTAAGATACAAATGAATTATCTTTAAAAATGAAGCCAAAACAAAGAAAAAAACAGATTTACATGTATGTTATTTTAGGGATAGCATGTAACATGAATCGATGATATGAAGTGTTTTTCTTGGCTGTGTAAGTTTATTAGTCCTTTCTCTGTTTGTTCAGATAAAGATATGAAATTATAAAGCTATTTAAAAAACTTGAAATGGAAGTAATGATATTGTGAAAATGATTCTCGGCGACTTAAGAATAAAGGCTTGAGAAAACTAAATCCAAGTTTTAGGTGAATTTTATTGTGAAATGTGTAGCAGAATCTTTATATGTCGGTTGTTAAGATTTAATAAGAAATAGCTCCATATGAAAGACATGCTAGACTTGAGTTGAATGACTTGGTCTGCAATGAGTCAAGAAGAGAGAGAGAGAAAGAGAGATAAAGGAGTGAGAGAGACAGAGGAGATTTAGGAGAGATGAGGAGTTACGAGAGAGAGAGAGGGGGGGGGGGGGGGAAGAGTGCAAGAGACAGAGAGATGAAAGAGCAAAAAGAATGGGAGAAAAACAGGGAGAGGCGAGGAGTTAAAGGAAGAGGGGGGGGGGGGGTTGAGAGACAGAGAGAAGATGTAAGAGAATGAGAAGAATGAGAAAAACAGAGGGATTAGGAATAAGAGAAAGAGTGGGGAAGTGAGAAACAGAGAGGAGATGAAATAGAGCAAGATGATCAAGAGAAAAACAGGGAGATGAGAAGTTAGAGAAAGAGAGGCGGGATGAGAGATAGAGAGGAGATGAAATAGAGCAAGATGATCAAGAGAAAAACTGGGAGATGAGAAGTTAGAGAAAGAGAGGCGGAATGAGAGACAGAGAGGAGATTAAATAGAGCAAGATGATCAAGAGAAAAACAGGGAGATGAGAAGTTAGAGAAAGAGAGGCGGGATGAGAGACAGAGAGGAGATGAAATAGAGCAAGATGATCAAGAGAAAAACAGGGAGATGAGAAGTTAGAGAAAGAGAGGCGGAATGAGAGACAGAGAGGAGATGAAATAGAGCAAGATGATCAAGAGAAAAACAGGGAGATGAGAAGTTAGAGAAAGAGAGGCGGAATGAGAGACAGAGAGGAGATGAAATAGAGCAAGATGATCAAGAGAAAAACAGGGAGATGAGAAGTTAGAGAAAGAGAGGCGGAATGAGAGACAGAGAGGAGATGAAATAGTATACAAATAATGAATGGTTATGAGTTCAATAGTGCGAATATGTTCATGAGTTGAAAGATTAACATTCTATTCAACGAGGCGTCAGCCGAGTTGAATAGAATTAACGTTAATCTTTCAACGAATGAAAATATTTGAACTATTAAACGAATGAAAAACATTCATTATTTGTTTTATACAACATCGAAGAAGACCGAATAGAACGTTAATCAACAAATTATGCTTTACTCCTTATAAAGATAAATTACAGTTCGAGTCAAGCCTTCTCAATTACATGCAGATTGCCTTCGCGTCAGATACACGCAGGGATACGCGCGCGCACATGCAGCAGAGAGGTACGCAGTCTGCATATAACCAAAAATGCACGGCGCATATAACCAAAAATGCACGGCGCATATAACCAAAAATGCACGACCGTGCAATATACCATCTATTGAATATCATGTGACCAACAATCGTCCAATCAAATGACAAGGATCCACGTAGGTGTTGTATAAAGCAAGATGATCAAGAGAAAAACAGGGAGATGAGAAGTTAGAGAAAGAGAGGCGGAATGAGAGACAGAGAGGAGATGAAATAGAGCAAGATGATCAAGAGAAAAACAGGGAGATGAGAAGTTAGAGAAAGAGAGGCGGGATGAGAGACAGAGAGGAGATTAAATAGAGCAAGAAGAAATAATGAGAGAAAAACAGAGTGAAGGGAGAAGCAGTAAGAAAGATGATTTAGAGAAAGAAGGGGGGGGGGGCAAGAGACAGAGGAGATGAAAGAGAGCAAGAAGAAAGATAAAAACAGGGAGAGATGAGGAGTAAGAGAAATGGGGGGGGGGGGGGGGGTGAGACAGCGAGGAGATGAGGAGTTAGACACTATGAACATGACTGACAAAGAAAGTGTACAAAATATGCAGTTCCTCTGGTAGACAAAGGAACATCCTTTCACTGCTATTACGAATAAACTTTGAACTTTTGAATTATGTAAACATGTGTGGAACAGGTGTCACATGCATGTTCACCTTTTTACATAATAGCAGTGAAGGGATGTTCCTTTGTCTACCTGAGGAACTGTATATTTTGTCCGCTTTCTTTGTCTGTCATGGTTATAGTGAGAGAAAGAGAGGCGGGATGAGAGACAGAGAGGACATGAAATAGAGCAAGAAGAAATAATGAGAGAAAAACAGAGTATAGAGAAAGAAGGGGGAGGCAAGAGACAGAGGAGATGAAAGAGAGCAAGAAGAAAGAGAAAAACAGGGAGAGATGAGTAAGAGAAATAGGGGGGGGGGGGTGAGGCAGGGAGGAGATGAAAGGGAACAAGATGATCGAGAGAAAGAGGAGTTGGAGAAAGAGAAGGGGATGAAAGAACAAGCAGAATGAGAGAAAATTGGAGAGAGATGAGAAGTCAGAGAAAGGACATAAAATAAGAGCAGCTACTTTTAATACTCATCCCCATTTATTTAGTAAATTAAAGAAACTGGCGATTCAATGCAGCATACGACAACAATCCTTTGAAGGCCATTAAAACTGATATGAAAACCAAATTATACAAGTCATTCCAAGGTCAGTCTCCCAAGCCTAGTTTTTCGAAACCATTGCATACCAGTATAGGACCGAGAAAAATTGATACAAAGGGTTCATTTCTGGTACTGTATATCACTTGGGTGGGACCATTAGCATTTGTTTTGTAAGACTGCTGGCATATCCAACACCTTTTCAACACACAACTCCGGGTGGTTCAGGAACAACTTGGAGTTATACCAATCATTAGTTTCGTTAGTCAAATGGGCCTGTATAGTCATCCACAGCTCCCAGAAGCCTCCAGACTTCCATTGCTGGTCTCTGTACAGCATTTCTACCTCCATCACTCAGTTTTATGTCCATAGCATGTATACCGTGCGAGTCAAAAAAACTTTACACTCAGAAAATTGTCATTTATTTTAAAAGTCAGCTATGAATGAAAAGAAAGGTTATCATACATGTTTTATATCCCAAATTGTTTGGTATCATTTTTATGTGGTATGTGTTCACGCTTGGATGAACAGGAGGTGCAAGTGCTAGTGCACAAATTGACTTGCGCAAACGTACCAAAGTGAGAGGACGAGTTGAATGGATCAAATGAGATGCATTGCATTTGCTTTTTGCAGAAACAAAGTCACACACACACACACACATGCACAAATGTTCTTTGTTATTAGATATGTGTGGCATGATTAATTTTTGTTAGGGATGATATTTGGATCTGCAAAGACTGAATTAATACCCAAATCCCAATTGTTTTATTCAAACATCACATGTATTACTTTAGCGCAAGTCGATTTTTGCACTCTCTTAAACAGTGTCTCCTGTAGGCTGTTCATCCAAGCGTGAACACAGACCACACACAAACAATACCAAATGATCTGGGATAAAACACTCTTTCATAAGATGTTTACTAATATACTGTTCATAGATGATTTTAAAATAAGCAATTTTCTGGGTGTTAACTTTTTTTTACTCACACTGTATAGACACAACAAACCCAGCAAGAATCACTATCAGTGTGCCCTTCACAACAACTCACACATTTACAGATATCCAGTGAACTACTACAAAACCACTACCTACATTCAACATCTTCAGGGATCATAGGATATCAACAAAATTTGGTACCCACAATGCTTTTTGCTTTGATTACTTTTTTTATTTTGTTTTATTTTTTCAAGATAAAGACCAGTTATGGTCATGTGATGTATTGTGAAAGAAATGTTGTGGAATCGATCAGAAAAGGTTGATCATCTAGCACAGGCCATCTCAACTACTTTATTAGAAGCGCCAAAATAAAAATTTATTGAGGTTGAAGTGCCAACCTGTATGTTTGGTGACTGTGTTGCGAGGGAGCGTAGCGACCGAGCCGATACCGGGTTGGGTCCAAGGGGGCAAAGCCCCCGGGAGCTAGTGGATTTTAGGGCTTTTTAAAGGCCCAGATGTGGCATTTTAACACCTTTTTGTTCCATAAAACATCAATCATAATTTCATATTGATGTGAAATAATTAGTACAATTCCTGGCTAAAATCTACACTGGAAGTTAATTTACATGTAGTTATTTTGGTGCAATAAACACGGAAAATGTCAAACTGAAGTGAAAATCAAACAAACAAAATGGCTTGCTTACATTTTGGGCTCAACTTCGACTGCGACTTTTTGATTTTGCTGAGTATTTTTATTTTAAAATATAATTTTTTGATTTTTTTTTTCTTTCTTAAATTTATTTTTAAATTTTTATTTATTTTTTATTATTTTTTTGGAACAGCCGCGCGCCACTCTGACTGACCGCAAGCGCCACGAGTGGCGCGCGCGCCACCAGTTGAGAAGGCCTGATCTAGCATATAAGTATTGGTGTGTACTGCAAGGTTCTGGAATCATCAAAATGATAAGAAATTTGGCCCAGTCTTGGTAAAGTCACAAGCGCTGTACACAGAAAGATGTATATGGGACTACGCACACGTGCGCGACACGTGCGTTATATCTATCAGGTCCAAATAGATATAATAATTTACCAAATATATAAATTAGTAGGCGGTTTCTCGGCAAAATTTGTATCATCACGTATTGTCAAAACATATTCTTTCACAGGATTGGTAATAGAAGCTTCCATTTCATTTTTTGAGAGGGGGCGTTTCCAAAACTGGTCTTTAACTTTAAGATTTGGAGGCTGTCACACTCTTCCCGTCGGTCTAAGTTACCCTCATCACATCCTCAAGAGACAGCTCACATAACAGGTTTCCACATCTCCTCTCTAACATACATCTACACAAAAGCCCAATGAATTCCCACATGAGGTTGTAAAGCACTTGAGAATACAAACAAATAAACGGCAGCATTGAAATGAAACCATGAAAGCCATGTGTAAATGAATTACAAAAAGTATTATTGTTGGGCAAAAGAAAATACCTTAGCGATAGAGGCCCCTATTCATAACCCAATGAACTTTGTTCTGAAGAATACAATTATGAGGCACGCACAAAGATTACACTGTACCTCATAATACTTTGCTGCAGCATCTACATGTATTTTATTTCATGCTTTACCCCCTCATATGGGACTGGGCTTAAAAGGAATGATCCAATACAACAATACATACTGAGAAATGACAAGCCAAGACAAGGTGTTCCTGCTACTTAACTCATTTATTAACAATTACGCACAGTGATCATAAGTATTGTGATAACGTGAGCGATGTCAATCTCAGAATACGGCAGCAAGATGGGTTGGGGGGAATGCCAGTTTACTGCAGAAGGAAGAAAGAAAAGAAACAAAAAGAAACACAAAATAAATAAGCATCAAAAGTTTTAAAACAAACATACATGTATTTTGGGTTCGCCAGTTATAATTCATGAGGGCCTGAAAATCTTGAAAATGATGTACATTGTGGCAAGATAACAACTAGGGCTTGAATTCAGGCTTTGTCTAAAAACTGGCATCTCTGATAAGTACATGAAATGGAGAAGAAAACCAAGACTTAACTTAGTACTGATTTTGTGATGTTGTAAATCAATAAATATCAACAATAATCTATCAAAAAGTGAGATAAAATTGAGAAATAAACACAATTGCATAAGAGTGGCAGCAGCATAGCTCACAAAAAAAAAATAAGACAAAGGATGAACTTCTCACCGAAAGGAAACAAAAACTAGATGGAATTTTGACTGCGCGCAGTCAAAAATGATGCCTCCGCCATAGAGCAACTTTACAAACCAAAACGGAAGCAATTTTTATAATTCAAGTTTGATTGTAATCCATCTGTCGGTTTTAATAATAATGCATTCACAAGCTATTTATAGTCATACATAATGAGCCCCATGACCTTTGACCTGATGACCCTAAAATCTAATCAGTTAATTGGCTCTGCAAGATACATATATACATGTCTTGAGTTTGATAGTAATCTGTCTATTGGTTCTCATTATAATGCGATCACAAGCTATTTGTGCATACATAATGAGCCCTGTGACCTTTGACCTCGTGACCCCAAAATATAATCAGTTCATTGGCTCTGTTAGATACATACATGACCCAAGTTTGGCAGGAATCCATTGACCGGTTCTTGAGATAACGCGATCACGAGCTATTTTTGAAGACATAATGAGCCCTGTGACCTTCGACCTCGTGACCCCAAAATCTAATCAGTCCATTGGCTCTGTTAGATACATACATGACCCAAGTTTGGCACGAAGCCATCGATCGGTTCTTGAGATATTGCGATCACAAGCTATTTTTGAATACATAATGAGCCCTGTGACCTTTGACCTTCGACCTCGTGACCCCAAAATCTAATCAGTTCATTGGCTCTGCAAGATACATACATGATCCAAGTTTAGAGAGAATCCATCAATTGGTTCTTGAGATAACGCGATCACGAGAACGGGACGTACGGACGGACGGACGTACGGACGTACGGACGGACGGACAACCAGAAAACATAATGCCTCCGGCTACTTTGTAGCGGAGGCATAAAAACCCAGTTAGTGTGGTGGAATGATAAATCAATGAAATCACTCATTTTCAGCAAACAATAGAATTAGAAGCTACTTGTATCTTGAATAATACAAGATTCATTGTCTGGCTGTAGTTTCCTTCCGATTCCAATTGAAGCATAGCATAGGATAAGTGCAAGCATTATACCCCACTTCTACCATTGTTAATTCATCCTATGGCTTTGAAAATTAATTGTGGGAAAATAACAGCATTTACAGTACATTGTGTTGATTAGTTTATGAATCACCCAACAGTGATACGAACAGTTTGGGAAATATAACCAGTACAAAAATAATGGCATGCAGATACAGGTCTGGCAACATGATTGGAAAATAAATTGTTTAAAGGGATCATTTAACAATGTTAAACCTGAGAAACATGGTCTTATGTGTTATCAGTGTCTGTGATATGGTGTAATATTGAAGCCCTAAACAAAATTGCACTTCAAAATGATCAAGAAGTGCCTCAAAAAAGTAAAAATCTTTGAGTGACCGGTTTTACCATACTCGTTTTTCCCTATAGACTGTAGTGTTGTAATTCCAATCATAAATGTCTTGATAATCAGACAGGCAATCGGCTTTTAAAAGTCATGGAGTTCCTGACTTACGTAAAGGTTTATAATTATCATTGTAGCATGAGCTGAATCCAGGATTTTGTTTCAGAATCTGAGACAAAGTTACCGGATCCCTTTAACTCTTAAGCTGCCACCCATACAATGCACCCAGTGCCACAGTGCTAATTCCTATTGTGCCACAGTGCTAATCTCCTGAGTGCCAAGTTAATTTTAAGGTTGGTTTAAGTGCGTGTTATTTAAATCTTTACAAAAAACAAATCGCTGAATTACTTGAGAAAATCCAATCTGACTGTTGTATACAAAGACGCGTAATCCAAAGCCGATAATCTGATGCACGCGATGGTACTTTCAATAGCGCTGTAAAAGCACTCAGCACGGTGCAATGGGCATGAACAATAACTGTTATTACATATGCGCGCTAGCGCGCACAAAGCATGAACGTTTATAATTATCATTGTAGCATGAAGGTTTATAATTATCATTGTAGCATGAGCTGAATCCAGGATTTTGTTTCAGAATCTGAGACAAAGTTACCGGATCCCTTTAAGGGCCAAATATAACAACTCAAGTTTTACCACTCTTCTGCAACAGTGCACTAATAGTTAATCTGATTGCATACTTGGTATAGGGTTGGCTCAACAAGTCACACACATTTTTCCACTTGACAAATGGCCACCACCAGTCACCACACAATGATTTAAGTCAAAGGTAATACAAAGTTTTGGTATACTATAGGGTCATGAATTTGGTTCAAATGAACATATTGGAAGCATGCTATTTTACAATAGTCAATGATAGTTGTCGCGGTTGAAATCAAGTCTTAACTGATGAAATTGAAAACATTAAACTCTTTATGTTGTATAGCTCCCTTTCAAGGCTGGAACTGATATAACTAGCTTTAAAGCAGTGTTTCTTGATTACAATCGACTGATTTGCAATTCCAGTGTGGAAATTATATACCAGAACTGCATATTCTGAAATTTTCATGGTTGCAGCTACCATGGAAACATAGGCGCTATTTGAAATATTTGAAATTTACCGGACGCACCTAATTTTTTAAATTATTCAATTTCTCGAAAGCAGAAGTGTTTTAGGGCTAATAATACAGCCACAGGGGCATCAAAATATATCAAAATTTCATAAAACTTTGCATTACCTTTAAGCAACAGGTACATATACACCACAACAGTGCAATCTATTTATTTTTTTTATTTTTTAGAGTAATTCTCATATAACCACAGCAATCCATTCTGATATGGACTTACACCTGTAGTTATAATCCATGATCATTTTCAAATGGTCTTTGTGAAAAAGATCATCGCTACAAAAAGAGATAGAAAAATGTTGTCAACCTCTTTTTACAGTGTTCATTAAAAAAAAAAAAAATATATATATATATATATATCGACCAAGGACATTTTTGTAGCTCAAGTCCACTAAAAAAAAGAATTCAATTCAGATAATATTAGTTGTTTTGTAAAGAATTATTGTAAAGTACATTAAGCTGAAAATATTATTGAAGAAAAAGTATACTTTTTCCCCATAATTACACTGTTAATTAAAAAAAGGAAAGAAAATATCACCAAAAAAATGTTCTAAATGTAAAAATAAACCAATTCTCGCACACACTCTGCGAACTTCTCCACATAACATATTAATTTGTAAAATACCTTGAGTATTTCAAGAACTGACTTTTATCTTTACAGTCGGCTAATTAATGAGCAGAACATAAAGAGAACTACAATGCAGCTTAATCATACCTTCTTGCCCGATGTCACCTTTGCCTTCTTGGTACCACGGACCTTCTTCTGTCTGTTCTTCCTTTCTTTCCTCTGTTTGGACGAGGTCTTAGCCTTCTCGTACAGTCCATGCTAACAGAGAAAGAGAGAGAGAAAGTGATTTAATGTTTTAAAAAAGTGATTTACATGTTTTAAAAAAAGGATTGCAAAGAATTACCAAGAATTACCAGTTACGCTATCAAATATGAAAATCCAAACTGAAAAGATCACTCTGCTTTTCGTAGCATTCATTCCCACTCTCGATCAACACATGCTGGCATTCATTCCCACTATCGATGAAACACATGCTGGCAACTCTTGGGTTGTACCTTTTGAGCACCTCTCATATTAGCTGTATTACGAAAATATCACAAATTGTCCATGTCATGGTTGCTGATAAAGCAATAGATCTTTACCATCAAGGATGTGTGTAGAACAGGTGTCTATTAATATCCAGGGCAATGGTACAATGAATATCTTTCTCAGGAAATTCATGGATTTAAATAAAGAAAAAGTGGGAGGAGCACTCGTAAGGTCTCATTGGGAGTTCCCAATTTGCCTTTGATCAATAAGGTTTAGGAAATACTTTATCAATCTTTTACTTGAATTGCTTAACTTTCATCCTTTGTTAAAAAGCCAATTCGATATGTGGGCTTCCCTTATATTTGAAAGCATCACAAGAGGTATTCTCAGTCAGCCCAAGGTGGTCTGATATTTTCTCTGGCGTTTATTGCTCCTGGCTTTATACCCCAAAGATGTAGGGTCTGGGTTAGGCTTAGGGTATAGTGTTTGATCAGGGCTGAAGTAAGAATTGTAGGACTGGGGGGTGTTTCATAAAGCTGGTCGTAAAGTTAAGCATGACGTTACGAATGACTTGAATATGAAGTGCCAGATAGGATGCCCAAAGTGTGACTATATTTCCAATAACCTCAATTAGATTATGGCAACAAATATACTTTGTATTAAAAATGTTTGTTTTGATAAGAATGTTAATCTACATCTGCACAGTTCAACTTTAGTTGATGCAGTTAAAACATGATTGAGCATCCCATTTGGCTTGTCATAATATAAGTCGTTCGTAAAGTCATGCGTAACTTTACAAACGGCTTTTATGAAACACCCCCAGGAGCATATGTACAACCCAGCTCAAATGAGAAAGGAGAGCTTACTCTTGCTAATCTGTATTTGGGTTCGTATTTCTTGGCAGAGTCCAGAGTGTCGTAGATGAGGGCAAAGCCCGAGGTACGTCCACCACCAAACTGGGTCTTGAAGCCAAAGGCGAAGATGACATCAGGGGTGGTCTTGTAGGCCTGTGCAAGGCGCTCACGGATTTCCGTCTTCTTGACGGTGGCTTGGCCAGGATGGATCACATCCACAACCTATCAAATCAGAAGAAAAATCATATGTTAACCTTTCAAGACAACTCAATTTGCATAAAAAAATGCTTCCGATTAGTTATTCAGCAGTTATCTCGATTAAGGTGCCATTTCTCTATTCAACATCAAAACCCCTAGTAAGAATTCAGACTCCCCCAATTTGGACAATTTTCAGAAACATGTTGTGGACAAGACGGAATACATTTTCTTTTCTTTTTCCTTTTAAATTACTCCCACATTCTCAGGCAAACTGTAGCATGAAACTTTTTCAAATTCAAAAAATGATATTACATGTAGACTATGGCTTTAATATAACTGCATCATAAGAAATAAAACAAAACAAAAATCTTCAAAATTAAGATCAACAACAGAACAAGACAAATGAAATGGCACAATATACAAATTAGAAAATCAGCAGTCATACAGAAGTGCTGCTTGGATATTTTGTAAGACACTTACCATTTGCCTTCTGTTCAGAAGACGGTTGGTCATGAACTTCCTTGTTCTGATCGTGATAGCTTCCCCCTATAACAAGAAATAAAAGATCTATTCATTTATCTTGGTTAAATACAGTGGTTATGACCCCTGAGAATGTGCGAGGTTCATAAATGAATTGTGTGGGAATGGGCAATTACTGTAGTCTTTATTTATTTTCGTTTACAATCACTCATAGACTCTAACAAATGCATATTACCAAAGACAATTAAGGCTTGGTGATATCAATAATTACATTAAAAATTTCACCAAGCCCGTAGCCAGTGCAGTAGGGGCGCTGGTCCGAGAATAAGGATCGTCTGCATAATCATGGATATCCTCGTAAACATGGACAAATCGGTTCTAAAAAATTAGGATCGCATGCATTTCCGCAGATGTTTTTTTTCATCAGCACTCTGGGGGTTTTGGGTTCCCGAACCACGCGCTAGAGATGCGACAAAAGGTTTCTAAGTTTGGAAAATAACCCCAGTTCACTGTCTACTTTTATGGGTTGTCTGTCTACCCGAGGATTTATCGCTTGTATTACGTGAAATTCTCTGTACAAAGTCAATGTAAAATGCATCAAGAAAATCATCACGGAATGCATTTCTTGCATTGCAAACGCGCAGATTGGAAATGTGAAACGTCTGCGAAAATGTGGACGTCTGATCCTTATTTTGGCAGAACGCATTAAACGAAGATGATCCACATTCTCGGACCAGCGCCCCTACAGGTAATGTAACGCAAAGCCAACTTAAAACAGACTTGGCCTTGGTCTCGGCGAGTAACACAACCAGAAAATGGATTCAGAATCAAATCAAGAATTTCTCCATTGCTTGATTGCAAGACCAACAATTTAATCTATGGTACTGAATTCATTGGGTTTGTTCACAATGATCGTGACACTACAGGTACAGAGACGGAAAAACAGTCTCTCATGGAAGTCCTTGTAAAGCAGTTCATAGAGGTCCAGAATCGCAATGTGTGCGAGTGTAGTCCCATAGATGTAAAATTACGATACGTTTGCACTACACTGCAAATCACAATCAGTGGAACCGATGACGAAAATTCTCATTCGTTTTTTAACGATAAAAAAAGTATCATCTTTAAAGAAAATTGCTTTTCATACATAAATATATTCATATCTATACAATGCTAACTTCAAATTTATCATTAAAGATACGATTACAAGTGATTTTAGTGATATAATTTCATAACTTTATTTACCATTTTCACGGTAATCTGAGTGATCTAAAAGAGGCTGGTCATTGCAAGTCAAAAGAGGGCGGTCTTTTTTATGGCAAAACTATGCGTGCGCAGACAATGTCGGGGCATCCACTTTCAAAGAAAATTTTAATGAAAAATTAGGAATTTTTAAAAGGGCAAGGACATTTTGGAAAAAAGTTGGAAAATTCTTGGAAATTCAAGGAAATTGAAGATAAAAATCAGAAGTAAAATAAGGAAATATTTAAAAGTGAACATTTTCTCTGTTATATCATTTGTTTAGCTTTATAAATATATAATATAGTTTTACCCAGATGAATTAGAGCCGGATTTGCCATTAATGAGAAATAAATTTCCCCTGCATCTGAGAAAAATGGGAAAACTGGAAAGTTTGGGGTATGCGAGGTAAAGGTGGAATAGTCAACAACGTGAGACATTTCGATATAGTAAAGAAACCTGTCCAATAAATGCCAGAATGCATTCCCTATCCACAACAAATTAAGCTAAAAATACAAGAACCCCGGTTTTCTTTCTTTTCTTCTTATTCGTAATTTTTTGTTTTGTATACTCCCTTATCCGTTTTTACCATGTAAGGACACGTTCCTCCTTTTGTAGTTGCTTTAGTGATGTTATCTTTGTTGTTGTAGATAGTATACTTTTAGTATATTTTTATTTTTATATTATGTAAATTATATTTTGTGTCTATTCATTTGTCTATTCTTATGAGTAGCCTATATACATGTATTGATTATTCTGATTGTATGTTTTTATCTTGGCCTGGACCCCTTTGAAAAACAGCTTATAGCTGACAAGGGGAATCCATCCCATGAGTGGGGAATAAATAAATAAATAAATAAATAAAAGTAGAAGGGAGGGGCAGGAGGAAAGGAAGGAGAGGGTTTTGGGGGTAGATTGTGTCTTAATAAAATAAAAACTGATCAATTCAATTCTGTATTAATATGTTGAGTAATATGAAACTCATTTTTTGAAAAACTCTTTAAAAAAAGCAATGCTTGTTCTAGTTTTTTGGATGAAATAACTGTGTAGTTGTAGTACGGTAATATTTTCCTATATATTTTAGTCCTATACATTATAAAATTATGAGCAATGAATTATGTTGTATTTATGTTAATCAAAATAATGATAAAAAAGCTTTGTTATGTTGCAATTTGTATAAACTAGGACTATAGAAAATGCTTTGTTTCTCAAAAAAGAATTGGAGTTTGAGAAATAAAATCAATGAAAACAAGCAACAACAAAAAATCGCTCTCTTATTTTTTGTTCTCTCTCGCTCTCTCTCTCTCTCTCTCTCTCTCTCCTCTCTCTCTATCTCTGTTCTCTCTCTCTCTCTCTCTCTCTCTCTCTACATACATATAAATATACAAACACACATTATAACAATATTAATATGTTTGTCTTAATTGTCTATCTTCATCTATTTAACAATCAATCTGGAGGCGTACTTTTTGATGATGCTATTATTGTGAGGGTAACTTCCACCAAGATTCTTGGGTTACACGTACATTGATGAAAAGTTGACTTGGGCATCACATTGTAGTAATATTTCTAAAGTTATTTCTAAAAATACTGGTGTAATTTATAAATTAAGTTCTTTTGTGCCACAAGAAACTATTTTATATTCCGTACTCTGATTTTGCCTTATCTTAATTACGGAGTGTTGGCATGGGGGAAATCACTAAAACGCTACTAAATAAGATACTTGTTGCTCAAAAAAGGGTGATTAGAATTGTTTTTAATGTAGGCCTACATTATCGTGCTCATAATATTTTGTTACATAGCAATAAACTATTAAAGGTAGAAGATCTATCTCTTGCAGTTAGGCTCAATCATGTATGATTTTGAAAATGGTACTGTCCCAAATGCGTTAGTACAGCTATCATAGAAAGAACAGTCAAATTCACAGTTATAATACAAGACAGGCAAACTGTGCACTCTATAATAATACTGCGTGTAAGAACTGCCTTTGCTTGAATACAGCTTGTACTGGTCCCAAGTTTTGGAACCGTAACTCGCTCTATCAGTGTCTCTGTTTTTAAACGCAAACTGAAATTATATTTATTGAAAAATTATGCTAGAAGTATTTAATGTAAAAATTATGTCATCACATATGATATAGTATGTAATTTTCTTTTTCTTGCTTCATTGTCTCCTCCCCCCCCCCCCTTTCCAGGCTGGCCCTTACCTTACCAATGTTTCTTCATTTATTAGCAAACTCGTTTTGTTCTGCTTTGCTCTTATGTAATTTTTCTTTTCTCTCTCTCTCTCTTCTTTTTTTTCTACCCCATCACCATTTCTCCTAAATATAACTTTCTTCCTTCTCAACTTGTCTCTGTTGTTTTGTTCTGGTATGCGCTTTCGCTCTCCATCCTTATATATCTTCCCATTCAGTCTCCTAGTAATACATCAATCTATCTCTTTTGTAAATATTGCTTCTCGTCTGTTAAGGTAGTTTAGTTGTTAAGTATTTTTTATTCAAAGAAATAAAATCATTCCGATAATATATTCTCTTTGGGGACCTTGCTCTAACAAGCCCAGCTTCTATAAGGTCCCCTCTTTCTTTCATGTTACATCACATGATCTTACATTTATACTTTTTTATAGAATTTCTTTAGTTAATAACAAGAGTTGTATGTTGCACGTTACTATTGCGCTTCCAATTATGTTCGTTATATGATAATCTGCTGTTCCAGTTTCTTTATTTAAAATTCTATGTACAAATGTTAGTGAAAGAAGAAATAAAATAAAATGAACTAGTCGCTATCTGTTATCTCCGCTGTCACATGACATGGTCACATGATGACAATTTTAGTATTTGTTGATATCACTGTCGACTCAGTCTCAGCTCTGTTCTGCATATGGTATTGCCGTTAAAAGTCGGGGATCTAGGAAGAGAGATAAGGTACGGACTATGAAATTAGAAGAATTATGAAAGCATTTATGATTGGATTAGTATAGTCTAGACTCTAGAGGTGTTAACTAAACCAGTAAGCAATAGTTCGACTCGGTGCGCGGTGCTCGTAGTCGTACTTCCGAGGTCTACATTTGTCCCACGCGTATATTTTTGTGTCGGTTGATCAATAATGCCTATAATTACAGCGCCTCGGCCACCAGGGGCTCGTTCCTAGTAGAAACCAACGGCAAGACAGTCATAACTTTATCCGCCAACTACGGAGATGTCTCTGATCTTCCTAAACCGTTTCATGAAGAGCTTACTAGATAGATATCTCGTGAGATCGATACACTCGGCGAGAAGAGGAGCCGAGACCTGGCCTTAGACTTAGAGTTAGTCGCAATAGATTCTACCACCTTCTTCTTCTTCTTCTTCCTCCGCTCTATCGGAGATCAGCAGCTACCAGGGTAGACCGAATTTTCCGTCTCTTTCGTTCGTTAGCCTCTTATTGGGGTAGGGTCGGCTCTCTCTTTAGAGACGGAAACCGTCTATACACATTCCCTTGATAACACCACGGCCATTTCAGGTCGTAGCGTTTTGCCCCCAAAATCCCCCAAAATGTCATTTTACCTCATGCATTGATTATTTAAAATTAGGAGAAGGTTATACTACATCGGTTCCACTTACTAACGTGACTGCAATAATCCGTTTAATGGTCCCTTTTAAGGAAATTATGGGTCAAAATCGACATCCATGTTGAAATCTTGCAAGCCGTGTTAAACTCTCGCTGCGCACGGAGTCATCTAAATCAATCTCATCCCTTCTAGTCTACGCCGAAGGCAAAACGATTATGAAGGAAAAACTGTGATAACGCCATTACGAACGTGTAGATGGCGCACAGTTTTTCCTTCATAATCGTTTTGCCTTCGGCGTAGACTAGAAGGGATGAGATTGATTTAGATGACTCTGTGCGCAGCGAGAGTTTAACACGGCTTGCAAGATTTCAACATGGATGTCGATTTTGACCCATAATTTCCTTAAAAGGGACCATTAAACGGATTATTGCAGTCAAGTTGGTAAGTGGAACCGATGTAGTATAACCTTCTCCTAATTTTAAATAATCAATGCATGAGGTAAAATGACATTTTGGGGGATTTTGGGGGCAAAACGCTACGACCTGAAATGGCCGTGGTGTTATCAAGGGAATGTGTATAGACGGTTTCCGTCTCTAAAGAGAGAGCCGACCCTACCCCAATAAGAGGCTAACGAACGAAAGAGACGGAAAATTCGGTCTACTACCAGGGTACTGCAGGAAAAATGCGATTATGTAAATGAAATAGTAATAAAAAAAGATTGAAAATGATACCAAGAAATAAGAGATGCAATATAGACTCTAGACCCTACTTTCAAATTTGTGTAGATTATACAATAGTACAAAAGTACTTGTAAAATATAAATGTGAGTATTTCATTACATGACCTGTGAATCAGTTTTGTTCTTGAGATGGGTACCCCCCCCCCCCCGATATTTTCATTTGATAGTTTATAAAAAAAATACACCAATATACTATTCTTTAAAAAATATGATGTAATGAAATTTGTGTCCAATGTTTTAGGTGTCGGTTGAATAATCAAATGACAAAATTTCAATATTCCAAACGTTAAAAAACATGTTTTAAACTATTCATTTTACATATTTGAAGACATTTTATCTCGAAGGCAATATGGGTCTGAAAAGTAAAGAATACACTTTGAACTATGGCTTGCCTGCCGTGGCAGATTACCCATCCCTTCGAGGATTTTACAATATGTAAAGAAACGCCCATAATCAGTTTATAAAAGTGGGAAAAACCTAAAATATAAACATGGCATATTTTCAAAAGATTTTCTAATTTAAAGAAATTATAACTTCCTTTTTAAGTGAATGTGAAGAAAGATTATAGCTGGAGGATTTATTGTCCTTTCTTGCTAGCCATAGTCTACCAAATAACTGACATGTGATGGCGCTGCCCATCGACTAAATAGTTATGACAGAGATAAGACGGTGTCAAAGGCGTCATAACTACTTAGTCAGGATGTTGCATGTTGTTGATCTTGGCAAAGAGGGCTTCGTGAAACACGTAGCGGACAAGTTGCTCAATATCGCTGATTTAGTCAAGAAGTAAGACTTATGACTTTTTTGAGGAACGGGCCCCAGTAATTTGTCTAATCGATGTCCAAAAAAAATCAGGGCTAACTCGGCTCAAAGACAACTCGGCCCAGATGCAAAAATGGTCAGTTTTTGTCATTTTACTCTAACCCTACCCCTAATCCTAACCCTAAATCTTACCCTAACTCTAAACCAAAGGCTCGGTGTAAAAATGTCAGAGGAAAAAATGTCAGAGGTAAAAATGTCGGAGGTAAAAATGTCAGAGGAAAAAATGTCAGAGGTAAAAATGTCAGAGGAAAAAATGTCAGAGGTAAAAATGTCAGAGGTAAAAATGTCAGAGGTAAAAATGTCAGAGGTAAAAATGTCAGAGGTAAAAATGTCAGAGGAAAAAATGTCAGAGGAAAAAATGTCAGAGGTAAAAATGTCAGAGGTAAAAATGTCAGAGGTAAAAATGTCAGAGGTAAAAATGTCAGAGGTAAAAATGTCAGAGGTAAAAATGTCAGAGGTAAAAATGTCAGAGGTAAAAATTTCATTAATTTCAGCGCTGCTTTATTTTCTTCTTTCTATAACTTTTATTTACCTTACTGCCCGGAATTGGGACCTTTTGCCCAAATATTGCCGAGCGGAGACGGGGGGAGGGGGTGCATCCTTCGTAATGACCCGGCTGCCTCCCCCTCATATGCCTTTGTCTAAGCAAATGATACTGGTACACTGAGCAAACTTCTGGGAAAAAAGAATGTCTAAAATCGAGTAGTTTGGCCATGAACAATTATAGGCCGAGTTGTGGCTCGATGGTGTAATCACTAAAAAGAAAAGTCATCACAGCCCCCCCCCCCCAAAAAAAAGAAGAAGATAACATATCACGGCGTGAGTCCTCCGCCCCCCCCCCCCCCCCCCCCCCCCCCCCCCCCCGCCCCCACCTCACCGTCCCTTCTGAAGATTGATGGACATTTTAAAATGTGGCAATGACTACTATAAAATGTAATTTCCTACAAATGAATATTTCCAACAATTTCACTTTTTTGTGTGCTTGATACTTTGATACCTTGATACAAAGCAGAAAGCCGCCCATGTATCAAATGCTAACCGCACCATCACATTCCAGAGAAGCGCGCGCTTTGCAAAGAGTTGATCGTCGATCACTATTGCGGTATAAATAGTCTGGGAGAACATCAATAAGCAGCTTGATACTCTGATACAAAGCAGAAAGCCGCCAATGTTACATCAGATGCTAACCGCACCATCATATTCCAGATAAGCGCGCGCTCTGCAGAGGTTCTGTTTAAGCTACATCGTTCTATAATTATTTGATGTGAGAGATCAAACACTGAAATTGACAAATATTTATTCATGGGTAACATATCAGAAACATAGTTTTACTGTACACATTTATAGCATCATGATCAAGGGCGTCAATCCGAGTTAGAGCATGGGGGGGGGGGACACAATTACATGTCACCTTTACAGTTACTTTCAAAATTATACCACGTTATGTTGCTACACACACACTCTTTCTCTAGTTATTCTGTTTCACGGCATGTAATTTCATTGGTGACCGGTTCATTCATTGCCTTTTTTTTTATCTTTGACGTTTCAATACATTTTGAGAGAAAGAAGACGATTCGTTGTATACCGTTCTCGACTCTTAATCCTTGTTTGAATTCAGTTCCCCCCCCCACCCTCCCGCGCGGAAGCTTTGACGTTACATTAAATTATTAAAGAACTTCTTTTCTGACAAAACATGGGGGGTACATTTCACCACCTGAACATTTGTGGGGAGGGGGGACGTGTCCCCCCGTCAACCCCCCAGGATTGACGCCCCTGATCATGATACTGCTTGTATACATGGTAATATTGTTTGAAGGATATTTGGTGCAGGATTTATACAAGGTGTGCTGGCATACACTGTATACGACAGTTTCCAGCAGGTACATATTCGTACAAGTCTACACATTAAACAAAATGCATCATGAATTTTGCAGAACAAAAACGGTTGAAGTTGAGGTATTTACATGTATACTGTATTTCTCCCACGTTTATTAATCGTAATTTTTAAATATAAAGTTGCAGTGTTATGGTCGAAACTCGAAAGCACATGACAAAATACCTGGGTAGATATGTCTCACTATACAATATTTAACATTGTTAAACTTTTGTAATAAAGTATTGATGAGGGGGACAAAGCATCCGTGTCTTTTTATTAACGTTTTCTTGTCATAACAGTCTTTGCTGGGATGGACATGAAGATGGGTCTAATTACTGAATTTGTGGAATTTCTGTGCGATCTTTATAACTGATTCCCTGTTGTATCTCATTCAATCTTAATATTCTATGTATATTTTATGGCCTACTTCCTCAAAACCAAATAAACATTAAAACATCAACCAATATAAAATATCGAAAAATGATAGAAGTTAATATATGCAAACCTGATCACAAAATATAAGTTTCAAATTTATTTTCCACTTTGTATTATCCTCAGGACATGTACGAAGTACAATACACAGTCATTTATAAAATATAAGAGACAAGCCCAGTAGCTTACATCTTGACATTTTGTGTGATAAAGTGCCGAGATATAATGATGGCACCAATTTTTCCCCCTACATTTTTTTTTGTACCTGACATTTTCTTTGTATCTCTGACATTTTTACCTTTAACATTTTTACCTCTGACATTTTTACCTATGACATTTTTACATATGACATTTTTACCTCTGACATTTTTACCTCTGACATTTTTACCTCTGACATTTTTACCTCTGACATTTTTCCTCTGACATTTTTACCCCTGACATTTTTACCTCTGACATTTTTACCTCTGACATTTTTACCTCTGACATTTTTACCTCTGACATTTTTACCTCTGACATTTTTTCCTCTGACATTTTTACCTCTGATATTTTTACCTCTGACATTTTTACCTCTGACATTTTTTCCTCTGACATTTTTACCTGGCACCAAACCAAACCCTAAACCTGCAAAATCTGACCGTTTTTTGCAGCTGGGCCGGGCCGAGTTGTCTTTGAGCCAAGTTAGCCTGACTCCTCCAAAAATGTGCTGTTTTTTCAAAGACTTCTTCTTCCATTTTGAGTACATCCCTCTTTACAGAGTATTATCGTACTGTCTATACTGGGGTGTGTGCAGGTGGACCAGGACCACTACACCTGGGTTCCCCCTACTCTTATAAGAATAGTGCAGTGGGTTCTTAATGTGCAAAGGTAGTGACTCTTCTCTACAAGGGGCCTCAATTTAACATCCTATCCTAGGGACAGAGTTTTTTCCACTTAACATAGCCTGCGTCTATTAGCAAGGGGAGGGGCACGTTGACACACAACGCAGGCTTCAGTCATCTGCCTGGGTGGGATTCAAACCCGGGATCTTTGGTTCGACAGGCAGACGCTTTACCGACTGAGCCAACTCGCCTCCTTGAAGTCAAATAGTCAGTCATCCAATGTACGAGGTTACAGTAGGGTCTAGATCTGCATCGTCCACACAAGCAAAGTTACGAAAATCAAAGGGAAATACACCGAATAAAACAATGAATTAGAAATTTAGAACTAATCCTATTCATAATGAAAAGAAAAGAAAAAAACTCCACAGATTGAAAAAAAAGGCAAGACCAAGGTTTTAAGAAAGAAGGTCCAACAATGAGGATCGTCCGCATAAACGAAGATATCTTTGTAAACACGAACAAATTGGTATGTGAGAAATGCATCAAAAAGCATCATCACTGAATTTGTTTTTCGCATTGGCAACGCGCGATTCAGTAATAAGGGTCGTCCTCGAAAATGTGGACGATCCTTTTTTTTTAGGACACGATTTGTCCCCGTTTACATGTACGAGGATATCCTTGTTTATGTGGACGATCCCTATTCTTTGACCAGTGCCCGTACTAATGATGCATTAATAAGATGCATGAACACCAAATTTTTCCTGCTTTGTACAAATTTAACAATGTACTACATGAAAGTTCTCCTAGATATAAAGTCTTGGGGGGGGGGGGGGGAGTGGCCGTTACTGTTAGTGTTACAAATGATTTTCATTCACCTGCTTAATATGTATAATTGTATTTTAATAGAATGCCAATTGCTTAAATTATGTGTTGTTACATTGGACAAGCAATAATGTTTGTCCGACCAAGCAAGGACTGACCTACAATGACATTCTCATTGCAATGTACTAGCTCGTCGCTATTTAAAGTAAATGTGTATATTCTGACTCTTTATTGCTTTCAGAGTGACTGGACTCAATATCAGCTGTTCTTCTTTGATAACTTTAGTGTGATTTTGAGAGGAAACAGTCATGAGTGAATCAGAAAAAGAGCCAATTTTTGGTGCCCCTGTTGAAGCGAAGACTGGAGAGGGAGCCCCATCTCAAGCACCAATGTACTACGATTCTACACAGAGCCCTCGCGCTGTAAGTTGTATTGCCATAAAATTGTTTGATCCAAATTGAGTGAAATATGGCTGTATGGCATCCAAAGATGGTGGTTTGGGAAAACCGAAGCAATTTTGCAGGCAGTAGAGGTAAATGAAAAAGCATCTGGGTCCTGTTACATAAAATTTGCAATGCCGCTCCAATATTTTAAGAGAGAGAGTCTACTTTGGTTGAGCTTATTAACAGTGTACTTTGTAATTCGATAATCAAGCTCACTGCAACTAGAAGCAAGCATAGCAAACTCTTTTTAAAAATTTGAAAAGTGGTGTAGCATGGGTCAAGCCATTCAAAGGGCATTGGGGTCAGGACTGGCGATGCGAGAGGACAAGGCCATTGAATGGGGGTAGGGTACAGGAGGGATTGTATCATCTGAGGACAAGGCTATTGAATGGGGGTAGGGTACAGGAGGGATTGTATCATCTGAGGACAAGGCCATTGAATGGGGGTAGGGTACAGGAGGGATTGTATCATCTGAGGACAAGACCATTGAATGAGGGTAGGGTGCAGGAGGGATTGTATCATCTGAGGACAAGACCATTGAATGGGGGTAAGGTACAGGAGGGATTGTATCATCTGAGGACAAGGCCATTGAATGAGGGTAGGGTACAGGAGGGATTGTATCATCTGAGGACAAGGCCATTGAATGAGGGTAGGGTACAGGAGGGATTGTATCATCTGAGGACAAGACCATTGAATGGGGGTAAGGTACAGGAGGGATTGTATCATCTGAGGACAAGGCCATTGAATGGGGGTAGGGTACAGGAGGGATTGTATCATCTGAGGACAAGGCTATTGAATGGGGGTAGGGTACAGGAGGGATTGTATCATCTGAGGACAAGGCCATTGAATGGGGGTAGGGTACAGGAGGGATTGTATCATCTGAGGACAAGACCATTGAATGAGGGTAGGGTGCAGGAGGGATTGTATCATCTGAGGACAAGACCATTGAATGGGGGTAAGGTACAGGAGGGATTGTATCATCTGAGGACAAGGCCATTGAATGAGGGTAGGGTACAGGAGGGATTGTATCATCTGAGGACAAGGCCATTGAATGAGGGTAGGGTACAGGAGGGATTGTATCATCTGAGGACAAGACCATTGAATGGGGGTAAGGTACAGGAGGGATTGTATCATCTGAGGACAAGGCTATTGAATGAGGGTAGGGTACAGGAGGGATTGTATCATCTGAGGACAAGACCATTGAATGAGGGTAGGGTGCAGGAGGGATTGTATCATCTGAGGACAAGACCATTGAATGGGGGTAAGGTACAGGAGGGATTGTATCATCTGAGGACAAGGCCATTGAATGAGCGTAGGGTACAGGAGGGATTGTATCATCTGAGGACAAGGCCATTGAATGAGGGTAGGGTACAGGAGGGATTGTATCATCTGAGGACAAGACCATTGAATGGGGGTAAGGTACAGGAGGGATTGTATCATCTGAGGACAAGGCTATTGATTGGGGGTAGGGTACAGGAGGGATTGTATCATCTGAGGACAAGGCCATTGAATGGGGGTAGGGTACAGGAGGGATTGTATCATCTGAGGACAAGGCCATTGAATGAGGGTAGGGTACAGGAGGGATTGTATCATCTCTATATCATGTAGCCTCCCGGGCCTCCCCATCTCTATTCCTTTTCTCTTTTTTCTCCTTTTTAAATCATTATTTATCGTATTTGGTCAATCTATTGAGGGTATTGAGGGAGGGGAAGAGAAGTTAGTGTGAGCATGGACATTGGTGACCCAACGCCTACAGGAACTGAGTTGGTCCTGTTTAAAAGGATAATGTAATGAAAGATTTCAGTAGACGGTTGGTTAGTCCCTCACATTCTCTTGAATATCAAAGACATTTTAACATAAAAGAATTTGTATGCAATAAAGTTGTTTAACTGGAAGAAATAGGAATATACTAGCCTGCTAGGTGCACATTAAAGGGTTGGTTTCCTTTTATTTTATGTAACAATTTTTGGTTCATGGGTCAACAATCATCTTTAAAGATAAAGGGCTACTGGTATTTCAATTAGCAGATTTATATATTGTGACCAATATTACCGTTATACATAATATATATTTATACTTATACCAAACTTCAGAAGTATGTCAAATTTGCAATTATCTTGTATTCTTTATTCACAGAAAGCAATCCTCTATGGTTTTGTATCGATCATCATCATCAATGTTCTTGTAAGTGTTTGCTGTTAAAAAATTCCTGCATTTAGTCTGTCATGAGGTTTATCATGAATTTGATCATAGTTATTAGGAAATGAAAAAATCCCAAGGACATTTTGACCAGTATTATGTTAACAAAAACGAAAAAATCCTGCTGAGTACTTTCTACCACCTACATTTAAAAAGCATCACAAATGTATTGTAGATAATTGATGATAACCTAGCGATAATAAATCTGACAACTCTTCTTTTCAAATTTTTTAATTATTGAGAGCCAGTAGGGCATTAACTCATAAAGTTTAAATTGTACAAATCACCTGAAAAAATAATTTGTTGTTAGCTAGAATATACAAATTCATCCTCAAAAAACTTTACCTGGCATTATTTGGGTAAAAGATTGAGAAGTATGAAAGAAATAAAGGATAATATTAAACCCCTGTGAATATGGCTCACATGGAACCCAAGTTGGACATGGGCTTGACGCAAGCCCTATTCTACGGGAGTGTGTACGTGTGCATTAACTAGTCTAAAAGTGACATTTGAAGCTCATATTTTGAATACCCGTTACAGTATAACCACATGGAATCTCTAACATCAAGAGCAAAAACACGTTTTGTTCATTAGTATACTTTAATCTACCGGTCACAACTAACAACTAAGCAGCTTTCAAGTTCTCATCAACAGATATACCTGAAACCTGTCTATAAAAACCACTGAAGGGAGACAAGAAAAGTGGTCTTTATAGGCAGGTGGTCTTTGTAGAGTGTAGACAGGTGGCTTTAGTACATGTTTCAAGGAGAAACCATTTTAAAAGGAAACAAAAATTGTGGCCTTTGAAGACGGGCTGTCTTTGAATACACTAGACAGGTGGTCTTTGTCGGACAGGTAGTCACTAAAGCAGGTTTGACTGTAAACTTATTTTTTGCAATTAGATCTTGGAATTTGAAGAGATCAAAGTAGTTTTGCTGGTTGAAAATATTCATTGAAATATCTGATTCATTAACCCTTGCTGGTATAGTCAAACCTGCTTTATTGACCACTTGTGTTTCCCTGGGGCTGTCGTTATAGACAGGTTTGACTGTTCTAGTCCAGTTGGTACAGGAGAATATGCATTTTTTCATGTTTATTCATAAACACTTACCTTTACACCTCTTCCCCCACAGGTTGCGCTCGTTTTATGCTTCTATCAAGGGGCCAAAACCAAAAGAGATGGTTTTCTGTATTTCCTGATGGCTTGTTGTCTCATCGGTTTAGTGGCAGCTGAAATCATTCTGGTATGTTTTTATAACGTACAATGTTTGTTCCATTTCTGTTTTTACACCACAGTGGTCTCTATGTACCCTGAGTTTCATCTGGCGTTTATATATTTTTTTTACCATTTTCAATATTGTATTCTATATATTTTTAAAATTTGCTTGTAAAATGTGAACAATTCAACCATTGGCTGTTAATCATATTTTGTATTGCACCATTAATAATTATAAAAAATAAATTGGTATTGTTCTATGAATAAAGAAAATAATAGCAATAATAATGGTTGTAATAAGATTTGGAAGGTGTCATGTCCAGGCGAAATCCAACTCTCAAGGTGCACTTCTACAAAAGATGAAACTATATTCAAGTACGATACACAATGGTACAGTTTGAGTAGAATACAACATGTAAAAAAGAAAGAGGAAATTTTTCAGATTAATTTTGAACAATGGAATAAAGTGTACATATTTTCGTAGCTGAAATTTTGTTATTATACAATGGAATGCACTCTTTGCCTTGGGATCAAAGTAATTTCCTTGTAATAATGAAACCTTGACCTATCAAGGAGCTTTAAGGAGATAGGGTCTCTCAAGGAATAAGTGAAACTTGTCTATACCGGTAGGCAGGCGGTCTTTATGTACATGTATCTAAAGTACATGTTTCAATGAGAAACCATTTTCAAGGGAAACAAGAAATGTTGTCTTTGTAGACAGGTGGTCTTTCTATACAGGTGGTCACTAATGCAAGTTTGACTGTATATGCAAACATCTGATAGATTGTAAAGGATATGTATGAGTAAACTGCCTATATACATATCATACATACATATATATTATACAAATAATGAATGGTTATGAGTTCAATAGTCCGAATATTTTCATGAGTTGAAAGATTAACATTCTATTCAACGAGGCGTCAGCCGAGTTGAATAGAATTAATGTTAATCTTTCAACGAATGAAAATATTCGCACCATTGAACGAATGAAAAAAAATTCATTATTTGTTTTATACAACATCGAAGAAGATCTAATAGAACGTTAACAAATTATGCTTTACTCCTTATATTAAAGATAAATTCAAGTTGGATTCAAGCCTTCTCGATTACATTCAGATTGCCTTCGCGTCAGATACACGCAGGGATACGCGCGCGCACGTATGGCGGGCGAAACATGCCATATTGATGACAACTATACAATCATACATCCATTCAATGGATGTAAGGTTTTAACCAATCAGAACGCAGGAAACTGTACAACTATACAACCATACAACTATACGACTATACGGCTATGCATCCATCGAACGCATGTATAGTTTACAGCGTGCGGGCCGAAGTGCCATAATCAACAACTATACAACCATACAACCATACAACTATACGACTATACGTCTATAAAGCTCGGGTTTCAACTACTGCTCGTGCAGTGGTTTCTCTCCCCCCCCCTCTCTCCTCACAAAACAACTGCTGCTCGTGCAGTGGTTTCTCGATCTCTCCTCACAAAACAACTACTGCTCGTGCAGTGGTCTCTCTCTCTCAAAACAACTACTGCTCGTGCAGTGGTTTCTCTCTCTCAAAACAATTACTGCTCGTGCAGTGGTTTCTCTTTTCCCCTTTCTCCTCACAAAACAACTACTGCACGAGCAGTAGTTGTTTTGTGAGGAGAGAGGGGGAGAGAGAAACCACTGCACGAGCAGCAGTTGAAACCCGAGCTTTATAGACGTATAGTCGTATAGTTGTATGGTTGTTGATTATGGCACTTCGGCCCGCACGCTGTAAACTATACATGCGTTCGATGGATGCATAGCCGTATAGTCGTATAGTTGTATGGTTGTATAGTTGTACAGTTTCCTGCGTTCTGATTGGTTAAAACCCTACATCCATCAAATGGATGTATAGTTGTACAGTGTGTCCCGAAAAAAACTATACACTTTTGAACTGGCTGCCGAATAAAAAATATATGATTCTAGGGGGAAAAGTTGTATATGTATGGAAAGCCCATAAACTCAACTTTCATATGACACCAACAAGTTTGAAAATAATTCATGCTTGGGTGAGCACTGCTCACTTTTGTAAAGGGTATGAAAATTAGGTTGCGCAGGAAATAGCCTTCCAATGTGCGAGAGGTAAATCCTTTGGAGCTTACAACATTGAGGGTGATATGATAAATTCATGATTTGCTGAGTGAATTCCATGGTTTATTAAACCAAACTTTTATGCACGGAACAGGAATTTCATTTTTCTATTGTAGCATTGTAACTTTCCCTGGTAGACTCAGTGGTGTGTTCATGAGAGTCAGGATGGGGTGATGGTACATGTTGTAATTTCCATGTTACAAACTGTTTTTTTTTACATTTGTGACTTTGAATAAAAACCTTCACCCCACATTTCAGTTACCATTTACCTGAAGAATAAGTAGCCGACATCTTGGACATTCCTTTTTTCAACAAACCGTATTTGAATATTCGATTTACATTATCCCTACCTGGGTATTGAATAAATCAATGAGATGTTCAACTAATCTTACAATAATTGAAATGTGGGGTGAAGGTTTTTATTCAAAGTCACAGATGTAAGAGAATAACAGTTTGTAACATGGAAATTACAACATGTACCATCACCCCATCCTGACTCCCATGAACACACCACTGAGTCTAACAGGGAAGTTACAGTGCTACAATAAAAAATGCAATTCCTGTTCACTCGTGCATAAAATGTTAATCCCATAAACCAAACATTTCACTTTGGTCATAAATTGGTCATATCATCCTCAATTCCGTAAGCTCCAAAGGATTTACCTCTCACACATTGGAAGGCTAATTCCTGCGCAACCTAATTTTCATACCCTTTACAAAAGTGAGCAGTGCTCACCCGAGCATGAATTATTTTCGCAACTTTTGGTGTCATATGAAAGTTGAGTATATGAGCTTTCCATACGTATATAACTTTTCCCCTAGAATCATATATTTGTTATTCGGCAGCCATTTCAAAAGTGTATAGTTTTTTTCGGGACACACTGTATAGCTGTCATGTATATGGCATGTTTCGCCCCCCATACGCACGGCAGAGAGGTACGCAGTCTGCATATAACCAAAAATGCACGGCGCATATAACCAAAAATGCACGACCGTGCAATATACCATCTATTGAATATCATGTGACCAACAATCCTCCAATCAAATGACAGGGATCCCCGTAGGTGTTGTATAAACTACCATAAACAATGGTCCCTGAGGTGACTGCATAACCTGGAAGGAAAAGGGTAGTTTTCATGTCACATGATCATGCACAATTGACCAATCAATTGTGCTTTTAAATGATGGATATAATTCAAAATGTTTTTGCTGATTGCTCCCCTTTAAAGATACTATCAGCCTTTTCACACACAGCTAAAATTCATCGTATCTAGAGATGATTAGAATCACTCAACAGTTTTAAACATGTTTATAGACAAAATTTCCCAGTGTGAACATCGTTTATATGATGTTGGGATAGATACGAAGTCGCGATCCATACGCCCCTAAAAGCAGGCTGCAGATACGAAGTTCGTATCTAGAGAGCTTGACATTTTGTGTGTGAAAGGAAATTCGTGTTTAAACGTGTTTAAACTGGATGGAGCGTGCGCTTTGATTGACATGACATGACCTTCAATGCGCAATGGCACTACTGCGCATTTTACGAGCAGTAGTTAATCACGAAACTATTAACGATCGCACCGAAATTTCTGTGTGTGAAAGGCTCGTGATTAGTTTAAACGCGTTCGAAACACGTTTATACTAGTCATGTTTATAGAATTTTAGCTGTGTGTGAAAAGGCTGTATGTCCCTTGTGCAGCCAACACCTAAATTCTGTAGAATTTTGCAGGAATTATGAATATATCATGTATGTCCTATCTCTGAAATTTAAACTTCAGCAGTGTCCTGTACAATTATGCAAGGAAACATGTTTACTTGCTAGACTTCACTGTCAGACACTATTGAGTGACTGACTCTCTTCTTTTTCCTTCTTTGGTAATAACATACATAAAATGAGCTGTAAAGTGTAGATAAGCATTGGTCTACATCAATAACCCACTTCTTGTAATGGCCAAAATTAAACTGATTGAATCTTTGTGCAGCACAAAACATACAACCATTTGGTACAATGGTCTGAAAATCAGACTATTACTTACTGTATTGCTATCACTTAAGTCGATTAGACAACTAATAGTCATTATTTTCCCACTTAAAGAATATTTTCAAGCCCAATGGGACATGTTACCTTTTTTCTCAATAGACCATTTTCTTCATCAAATTTAATTTAATGCCCAAATCTCTGTTAAGTGGCTCGTTTAAAACTATTTCGCTCACCCGTTAATTGTATTTCAAAAGTCTGAATGTGAATCGCATATATTAATTGTTGATAGGAACAACAAACATTATGGCATGTCCTACCTAACAACACGCAAAGATTTATGCAATAAATTTGATTACATTACAAAAATGGTCTATTGAATTACCATGTTCCTTTAATAGTCATTAAACAATTGATATTAATGGCATATATTTTGTCTCTTTCTCATTGTTTCATCTCTCTCTGTCTATCTCTCTCTAGATACCATTGGTGAGGAGAGGGGATTTAGCCAAGGAGAAATCATGGTTTCTTTACTTTTTGGGATTTTGCATATTACTTGAGTCTATCTTTACAGATATTCTGGTAATGCACTAGTACTTCATGTGTGTCATCATGTCTTTACTGCATAGATTTATCTTTTTCTTCAATGCAATAATGGTCTTTATTAAGTACAATGCATCACAGCCAATAGCTGAATTCTCGCTACCCCAAATAGCGATTCTGCCGAGATCCGGGGAAAATCCTGAAAACGCGCATTGCATTATGGGATAGCTTTTCGACATTACAGGTTCCTGTGCAGGCGTTCGTGATCACAACCCTCTCTTTCACGGTAGAGTTTAACGGCCTTTTGTGCTAAAGTCACTAATTCTGCCCGAAGCTTTCCATTGCATATTATAATCTGTACAAATTACACTGATTGGCATCGATTTTAGCGTGCGTGAAAACTCTGCACAGCGAACACAGGCGCTAGCGCCAGCGGGATGGGACTCTATACCGGAAGTTGTAGTGACGACCCGAGAGAGTGAAAATTACCTCGTCTCGCGAATTTCGAGATTTTCGTACCTATTTAGGGTAGCGAGAATTGAACATGTTTATATTGTCTTGATTACAAATTTTACATGAGATAATACAAAACTTGAATTAATGATCACAATGATAATAATAATAATAAAACAGTGCTTATAAAGCGCATTCCATCTAAGTCTTTATGCACTACATGTAAACTGATATTGCATTTTAAAAAATACTGTAGTTATAACAATATCATGTGCATATACATGTACATATATTATTGGCATTTATAATCTATACACGTAAGGTAAAATTGTACTATACTTATAAATCATGTCTGACATTACAAAATATTGAAATAAACTGTACTTGTTGTGCTGCTATCTTAATTAACTAGAGTAAATTTTATATATTGAGGTCAGTGCAAATCTACGCTTTTAAAAATAGATGGGACTTGTACAGTGCTTGTATTGCAATTCCAGTAGTATATTTTGTGGCAAGATCTACATAAGATTGAAAATTTGTTTTAATATCAAAATAAAGATAATGTATGACATATGGTGGTCTACAATAGAAAATTCAAAGCTATAAAATTTCAACTTAGAAGAAGTATGAACTGATATGCGTGAAGTGTAATGTCTCTTTCCCCCGCCTGGGTTCCAGGGAGCTCTAGGGTTTTTACACCCTCTCTGGTGCATTCTTAGGCATGTTTTGAAGCATTTTCATACAAACTTTACAACTAATATCTCAATTATAATCATTATGTCATATTTTTCTTCATATTGTATAACTTGATACTGTGAAATTTCAACATGGAACCTTGTCATTCTCTTGTGACCTCCCTGCATAACACCAATGGGTTTCAGAGGGCTTACTTCAATTCATCGCGTCATGACCTAGGGTCGGGTCGGGTCGGGTCAAAACATGCCCCTTCATTCACAAAATGTTGGGGGGTAATGTTTGTGAAAAATCCCCTCTCATCTACGAATGTGAAAACTTTGTGAAAACCCTACGGCAAATCTACGAAAGGTCAGGTCATCATCTGCTTTCGTTTCTTAACACCACCACCTGACCGGACGTGATGACCCAATGATTTGAAGTAAGCCGTTTCAGAGTAATATTTTGTAAAATGTTGATTTGAATATAATAAATATATCACTCCTTCAGGGTTTGAATGTACTGGTAATTTCTGGTAGTGACTATATACAACTTCTTCATGAATCTGAATGATTTATAACTAAACTGGATGTTAAAGGGGCTGAAGAATGGCAAATACTGGTTAACGCCATCTGCGACTTCTTTGGGACAACTGCACGTAAACGAATGGACTTTATTAACTGCAAAATTTGATGTTAAGGGGATCATGTCTCATTCTTTTAATGGGATGTAAATGTTTTTTTGTGCATCAGGCTTTGGAGAATCTTGTGCAATATGATGATTATAACTAATGATATACCCTGTTATATTCACCCATTATTTTTCCCCTTGTCTCTCTCTCTGTGTCTGTTTGTCTTGTTCTCTCTCTCCCCCTCTCTCTCTCCCCTTCTCTCTTTCTCTCTTTCTTTACCTCTCTCCCCTTCTCTCCCTCTCTCTCCCTTTCTATATCTATCTCCCTTTCTATATCTATCTCCCTTTCTCTATCTCCCTCTCCTCTCCTCTCTCTCTCCTCTCTCTCTCTCCCTCTCCTCTCTCTCTCTCTCCCTCTCCCTCTCCCTCTCCCTCTCCCTCTCCCTCTCCCTCTCTCTCTCCCTTTCCTCTCTCTCTCCCTTTCCTCTCACTCTCTTCATGTATGCCTTTTCTTGTTTCATATGAAAAAAGGAAAATCAGACAAGTCTATAACATTATTTCTTGCTAAAAATTCCATTAAGATTTCCATTTTCTTTTCCCTCTTAAGTCCACATTTATCACCACCAAGTGTTTTTAGTTCGAGTCTGAAATTGTAACACTTGCCAACATGTTCCACTTCCTGAAAGCAGAGGGGATTTGGGGGGGGGGGGGGGTAAAGAAAAAGTAAGGAATTTCTTTGATTTTGGTTTTTTCTGAGTTATATGTAAATAAGAATTAAAAGTTACCATTAAACATCTGATTGCCTTGTATTGTTGACATTTTCTTCTTTGCTTTCGTAATTCCCATATTTACAAAGTATATTACATGTACACAACTTTTTGGAAATTGTCTACATCCATTATACAATTAGCCTACCTACTGTTATACTGATTAGTACCATTATTTGAAAACTATTGGCGATATATCCTAAATATAAATATTTTGCAATATGCTTGTGTATTTAAGTCACGCAGCTCTAGATAATGACTTCCGCCTTTTCTCATTTGTTTATTTGTTGGATGATCTTTGAAAATAATTGTAATATTTAATATGCATGTATTACTAAATTGATATTTTGATATTACATGTATTTTAATGAAACCCACACTACTTAAACAAAAATGCTGTAAACTGAAAATTTTAATTTTGCATTTATACATGTACATGTACTGTTAAAAGTACTGTAACGGGCCCCTGCTAAGGGTACAGATTTCTTGTTTTCAAATGTTGGCAGGTATGATGTGTGTTTTTTATTTCTAATTTTTATAAATCTGTAGAGGTATTCTTTTCTCTTTATATTCCATGTATCATTACATCTTGAGGCAAATGAATAGCTCTAAAAAAAATGCTCCATTTGATTGAAACAAGAATAAGTCATCTTTCATGCACTGGAAAACAAATTTTTTATTAAAATATATAATACTTTGTAATATTAGTGTGATTTGTGCCTTATTGAGTCTCACATATGTAGGTTGTAGTATTCCACGTACTACATCATGGGTATAGTTCAGGGGCGGCTGAGCAACTTCCAAAGTGGGGGGGGGGGGGGGGGGACAACGCAAAAAGGCACTTTCTGGAGAAAAAAAAAGGACACCTACAAAGGGAAAGCTCAAAGCGAAAATATACAATTTTTTTAGACATTGGTATATACCCCTACATTGTGATTATATTATCAGAGATGATTTCAATATTTGTTACTCTTCATACATACCAAACACGATATTGCTTAATTATCATGCTTTGCCGTTGGGTGTCAGGGGCGGATCAAGCTTTTTGCTAAGGAGGGGGGGGGGGGGGGGGGGGTTGACCCAACGTCCACGAGCCGCATGTAGCGGCGAGGCGATTTTTGTGTGTGGCTATTTTGAACTCCCGTATGTGATGTTTTCCTGGCATCTACTAACATCTGCTAATACTGTGTGGGTCTGGACACATGATGGCGTTTTTCTGTGCACATCACATTTTTACTTGGCAGCCCAAGGGGGGGGGGGGGAAGGGGGAGGGGATTAAACCCCCTAACCAGCCCCCCCCCCCGTAGATTCCCCAATCTCCCCGTAGTCAACTTGAGCAAAGTGGTCACTAATTATGCCTCAGCCACACCTTTGCGTATTGCTGCGTATTTATGGCAAGCCGTTTTAACATTTATTCCTATTTCTTTATATCAAGAATTACCATTGCTGTACAACAGAAAATCATTTCTTGATAAAAAAAAATAGGAATAAATGTTAAAACGGCTTGCCATAAATACGCAGCAATATGCAAACCAAATACGCAAACGTGTGACTGAGGCACAGGCTATGTTAGGGAGAGAAAAGTCAAATGTTAAAAGGAACCAAAGCCTCTAAACCCTAATAAGGCCGGGGTATTTGAGATCTTTGTAGTACCGGGAGGGGGGGGGGGGGGTAGAAAAGGCGTAGCCGAGAATCGAACCGAGTACATCTGCTTTGTGAAGCGATGTCTTATCCACAAGACCACTGTGCTTCACTGATATTAACTTGTTCGCTTCAAGATGTTAACACTTTCTTATGTTAATGACTTTAAAAAGTATGCTGATAAACTACTTTTACTCCTTTGTTGAGGAGGAGGGGGTGTCCCCTAAACAAAAAATAGATAAGATAAAATGTGAGGTAGAAACGCGTAGCCGGGAATCGAACCGAGTACATCTGCATTGTGAAGCGATGTCTTATCCACAAGACCACTGCGCTTGACTGATATTATCTTGTTCGCTGTAAGGTGTTAACACCTTTGGATGTTAATGGCTTTTAAAAATATGCCGATAAACTACTTTTACTCCTTTGTTGACGAAGAGGGGGTGTCCCCTAAACAAAACAAAAAAGAGATGGACAAATCAATATGAAGAAAAAAATGATTTAAACAAAAAAGAGGTAGAAAAGGTGTAGCCGAGAATCGAACCGAGTACATCTGCTTTGTAAAGCGATGTCTTATCCACAAGACCACTGTTGTTCACGGATATTAACTTGTTCGCTTGAAGTTGTTAACACTTTCTGATGTTAATGACTTTAAAAAATGTGCTGATAAACTACTTTTACTCCTTTGTTGAGGAGGAGGGGGCGCCCATAAACAAAAAAATAGATAAGAAAAAATGCGAGGTAGATAGGCGTAGCCGGGAATCGAACCGAGTACATCTGCATTGTGAAGTGATGTCTTATCCACTAGACCAATGTGCTTCACTGATATTAACTTGTTCGCTTCAAGTTTTTAACACTTTATAATAATAATTGCTTTAAAAATCATGCGGATTAACTTCTCGTACTCCTTTGTTGAGGTGGAGGGGGTGTCCCCTAAACAAAAAAAGAGATGAACAACAAAAAAAACGCGAGGTAGAAAGGCGTAGCTG